GAACCATAGCTCTTCTCGAAGACTACAACATTAAACGACGCTATGAATTGAAACATCTTCAAAGTTACTCCAAGTATACAGGAAGTTTGCGGAAGGAAAAATTTGAAGCTTTGAAACGCGGACTCAAATCGCAGCAATCATTGTTCACCAAAGCGAATATTGAACAAGAGTCTGCAACTCGCGCCAGCATTCGTGTGGCTCCTGAAATCGAAAAACGTGGCAAACCATTCACCGATAGAGAAATGATGAAAGAATGCTTGATTGCAGTAGCCGAAGAAATATGCCCTGAAAAGGTAAATTTATTTAAAAGTGTCAGTATGTCAGCAAACACCGTGGCTCGGAGGGTGCAAGACATCGCAGAAAATATATCATCTCAACTGTCTGGCAAAAATGGACATCATGAGTGGTTTTCTCTGGCATTGGATGAGTCAACGGATGTGTCAGATACTGCTCAGGTGTTGATTTTCATTCGCGAAGTAGATAAAAGCTATGAAGTGTATGAAGAACTTCTTGAATTTGATAGTATTCACGGCAGGACAACTGGGGCAGATATTTTTAAGGGAGTTGAAAATGCCATTAATAAAAAGAACTTTCAATGGAGAAATTTTAAATCTATAACAACTGATGGAGGCAAAAATATGTATGGTAAAAATAAAGGAGTGGTTGCACTTGTGTCAAAGACTGTAGAAAATGATGGTGGTTCAAAACCATTAGTCTTACATTGTATCATTCATCAACAGTCCTTGTGCTGAAACTGTTTGGATATATCTGAAGTTCTAAAACCAGTCATATCAGTTGTAAACTTCATCAGATCCACTGGGCTGAATCACCCACAATTCCGCGAGTTTATTCAACAGATTGGAGAAAATGATTTACCATATCATACTGCCGTACGCTGGCTTAGTTGCGGAAAAGTCCTTTAGCGCTTTTTTGAAATTCGGGCAGAGATCGAAATTTTTTCAAATGAGAAGCAGCGCCCTTATGTCGATTTGACAAATCATATGAACGAACTGAATTTGAGATTGCATGGAGAAAATCAGCTTCTCCCTGATTTATACACCAATATCAAATCCTTCAGGCAGAAAATAATACTATTTCAATCGCAATTACGTAAAAAATGTTTCACACATTTTGAAACATGTGAAATATTCAGCCACACTACAGAGACTGAATTTCCCGTCAATTTTGCAATCGAAACTTTGAGTGCTTTGAAGATAAATTTCAATACTCGTTTTTCAGATTTTGATGTCATTGCGAATGAAATTAAGCTTTTTCAAAATCCTTTTGATTCTGACATTGAAACCCTGGCTCCGGAAGTCCAAATGGAAATTATTGATTCACGGTGCAGTGATATGCTTAAGAACAAATATCAAAATTCATCTTTGTTGGAATTTCATGAGAGTCTTCAACTGGAACAATTTGATAATTTGCATAAATTTGCTCGTGGGTTGTTTTCTGTTTTTGGTACTACTTACTTGTGTGGGAAAACGTACACATGAGATGAAGTACACAAAGAATGTTTACAGATCTCAATTAACCGATGAGCATCTCAAATATCTTTTGATAATTGGTACAAGTAAAATTGATCAACAAATACAAAGTATTGTCGGTGGAAAATCACAATTACATAAATCTCATTAGTGTTTTCGTTTTACTGTGATTCATTTCAATTATTTGTTAGTTTTTATATGCTTAAACTTAGATACTTAAGTTAAGTTTGTCGTTAAGTTTTACCTTGCAAGTAAATGAAACCGAGTAATTATCATTCTGTGTTTTCTTCTTCAACTCATCACAGCAATAGTAACAACAATTAGGTAATCATTGGCTGTCGCGAGCCTGATTGATGACAGTTAATCATTGGCTGTCGCGGGCCGGATTGATGACACAGGCGGGCCGGATTTGGCCTGCGGGCCGTAGTTTGGAGACCCCTGCTCTAGGCCGTCGCAATACCTGGGCCGCACGATCGAAGCGCTAGCAGCGGGTCAGAGCGGGGTGGGGACGACAGTAAACGCGTTTCTAGCAGTTATAGTTTTGGCGACATGTTGGTGACTACCATTGCCCGCTGATTCATATCACCCGGTCTTCCCTTGTGGATTGAGAGGTAAACAATAAATGGATATTAAAATGCCATTTGGGTTCTTGTAGACATAGTAAAGCCAAACTCGCCGGTCATGACTCAGTCCGGCAGCTTGTATGGTGGTTATGCAAATCTAACTTTTCCCAAAAACAAATCTGCTTGTCTGTTTGTCAGAGCTTTCTGAACAATATGACCTAGAGTTTAGAATCGCCTCAATTTGGATAATTAGAGTGTAGACTCATAGAGAGTCATAAGTCAGTATCTAAATGTCAACGGTATGCATGGATGCGATCTCTCACCTATTTAGGCGTCAGAATTAACAATTTATTTCTCAACAGTCGGCTTCAACAGCAAGGACATATTACAAATTATAATTGTTGAATTGAAAATTACCTGTTATTTTATAGCTTTCATGGGTTTTAGATTATTATAGATCAGTAAACCGTTTATATTTGCTCTCTCATAAGAATGATTTTCAACTGTGTCAGTACTTTCTAAATTAAGTACTTTCTAAGTACCATCTAAATCAATAATCAGACCATGACGATGATGTCTATTATGGGTTCGTTTGACATGAATTCGTCCTCATATTTATTTGCTCGTTCTTAACGAAATTTCCATTGCTCGGAAAATTGTTCAAGAAATCATCGCAATATTGCACGAAATCGTTGAAATTGAAAGTAAGATATTAATTTGCTACGTGGTATTACAGTCCGGCTCAAACCAACTCATCTGGATTCAAATCTTGGTGAAACGTCAGTTGCCAACGGCTCCAAAGCCCATTCAGCGAACACACGTCGTTGTCTATGGTCGTTTTATCTCCAGTTCTTGGGTCAGTTGAATTTTGTACGAGAGCAGGCCCAAGTCACGACGCAAAATTCGCCAAGTTGTGGTCTGCGAAAAGCCAAGTTCTTGTGAGCGACGCGAAATTGACTGCCTCGGATTCTCCTGCACACTCTCACAGACAGCGGCGATGTTTTCGACAGATATTGCGTTTCATCGACGTAACGATGTTGGTCGATTGTTTACTGAACTAGTGAACTCAAATTCAACCACCACATTGGAAATAATCCTCTCAGTAGGACGATTATGGTGACCGTGAAAATGGGCGATGAGCGCACCCATCGTGATAAAAAAAAGTTATTATTTGCACGTGTTGTTGAATGCTATATCCGTCCATGGTGATTTGGCAAAACAGACTGGATAAATGATAACTAATTTGTAAGATATAGCTTCAACAAGATGGCCGTTAGAAAATTGTCAAAGTTCAGAAGTCCCTGTTGGAAGGCCCTGTATATGATACTTTTTTTCATATAAGGCGAGAGAAATGACTCAAAACTCATCAGACAAAAAGCAATTTTGAAACGAATAACCCGCAGATATACTTTGGGCTGAAATATAACTTATTTATCTTGTTTTAGTGATTTTCTGTACCACACAATGATATTGCCGTGTCGCGTATTATCCTGGGGAATACAAGGAGAAATGAGAAATCATGAGGACAAAATGACCTAATATTACTTGGGACGTCCCACTATACTGATAGAATTAGGATATGCTTCGAATCTTTCTGGACAATAGCAAAACATTCCGGGGAAAGGCTGAAATCTTCCTCGAGATGAGATGGGCATCAGTAATCCAGGATATCCTGTGGGGAGTTACAAAGACTCTTTTATGATATTCTGTGAACATCTATGGGAATGTTCACAAGAATTCCTGAGGTGCAAATGGATGATAAAGTGGGATATCATAAGAAACCGGTGTGTTATCTGGGTTAATATTTTGAGTTTTATTATCAACAGATGATCTTTCTTTCATTATGTGGTATATTCCGTTTGTATTCCAAACATTCGTATGGAATCGAATTAGTATTTGCTACTGAAGAGTCGATAAGGCAAGTGTCTTACGGCGAAACATCGGATGTCTAGCCACAATAAAAATCAACCAGTGAGTCCACTCCCTCTACTTTCATTCATAAATTCACAAAGTTCTAAACACAATATCAATTCCAGACCCTTTATTATAACTAATCCGATGCCTGTGGTACCGTCGAATCCTTCGAATCCACATCACTGAACGCGTTGGATGAGAATCTCATCCTGAGAGCGGTTGAAGGTCCCCAGCATCACGGGCGGATTACGTGGTAAGTGAGTCTACTGATTATATTTATTCTACTGTGGTCTTGCAGTAGTCCATGCAGTGTCCCATGTAAATGAAATTTTACTTCTTCCATCAATTATATTGTGTAGGAATCCTGTGAATGATATCTGATTCGATTCCATACGAATGTTTGGAATACAAACGGAATATGTTTGTTTGTTTGTTTGAAATATGTTTTTTTCCGTTAACCAGCTATCGCACCCCTACGAACGATAACTCTCGAAAGTCGAAACTTATGCGAGCTGAGGACTAACGAGGTCTTACCTTTTAACGTGTGATTCTTAACACGGGTTGGATGATAGCAAGTGAAAATCGAGCGTTCAGCCTGGGGCTTGAACCATCGACTCACACATCGGCCGATTGACTGAGTGAACAAAGCACCAATGTCGAACCGCCCAGCTATCGACCGACCTAGAAAAAAGTGTTTTTCGTATAATTCAGCGTTCATAGGAAAGTATTCCTTTCGAAATTATTTCACTAGTATTATTCAATGTTTATATGAAAATAGCTGTTTCAGGGGGCTTTTTCTTCCAGTTTGTGTCTGAAAGTTACTTCTTTGCATGATCTAAACATCTTTGTATTGATATTAAATTCATAGAAAATATCATTTGAACTAGTAATAATTCAATTTAATTCCACAAAAAAAACTTGAACCAGGCGAAGTTACAATTGTCATATTTTTACAGAAAACTAACGATGTCTATAAGACTTAAGAGGTTAGACAAAAAATTTAGTGTGAATAAGGGTGAGTACAAATATTTACCTGTTTCAAAATATTGTCAGACCCTAAACAATCTAAATCCAACAAGAAAATCTGATATTCACTTGGACTGAAGATAGTGATCGTATTATTAAATCCGCTAATCTTTGTTGGTATATTTCTGGTAGAGAGATGTCTCAAAAAATCCATCTTGCTTTCTACAAAAGAAGAGCATTGCTTTTGTGTAAATGAAAAACTTGACAACAACTATCACCTCCGGTCCAGCACAGGTACGCCGTGACTATACTTGGAACATTTTGTTTTTCTATAAGATCGTGTACTAAACTCATAACTTCAGTAAGATTCTTCAATCCTGAATGAACATTATGTAACACCAGGATCAAAATCCCCAGTGTTTTCAACTGCATTCTCTCTTGTTTTGCCTAATTCTAGTTTCAACCTTCATTCTTATGAACTGCTGAAATGAATTATCTATGAGATGATACCGTTGAAGGTACAATGCCATATAATCATCGAGTTCCTAATCTGGTAATTACATATTCAGATGAGCAACTGTAGAGACGATTTAATAACATATCATTAGGCTAGAGAACAAATCCTTTTCTTCCATGAATTCTCATTATGTGTTATTTTATTCAACTACCGAAATATGTTCGAGTGAGTTTTGTTGTTGTTGATATTTTTATAATAACAGCCAAGTGTACAGCATTCAACTAATTAGAATAACAATAATTAGTAAACCATATGAAAAAATAACACTGATATACATAAAATCACTACATATTATACGGGGTCTGTTCAAAAACTAAGGTGAATTTTTGTTTTTGAAAAATGAGAAATAAACCTTTGTTTTTATACTACTTGTATACAAGTGGTATGAAAAAATATAAATTTCAGTTTTATCTTTCATGATGATCTCCTATCACATAGTAACGGCTATATCCATCAATTTATTTTCATTTATTCATCAATTTATTTTTTATCCCCTTCAAAGTAGTCCCCCTCAGATTGAATACACTTGTTCTGGCGTTTTTTTTCTTATCAAAGGAGTTCTAATATGTCCTCTTTGGTATGTCCTTGAACTCTCTCAGTGTTTCGGTTTTTATCTACTCAATCGTCGCAAAACGCCATCCTTCCATTGGTCTCTCCAATCTTCAACCTTGGGAACAGAAATACGGTGGATGAGGCATGATTACGGTATTGTTTTTTGCCAAAAAATTGAGCAGGTGTCGTGATGCAAAAGCCTTGAATTGTTTTTCCACAACACCGGACCTTTTCTTCGTATTGCTTCTAGCAGAAGGCATAACTTCTTTGACCGAACGACTATGTGGCAAAAACTCTTGATGCACTACGCCATGGTAATCGAAGGAAGCCTTCAACCAGGGGAAGAATACAGTTATGGCCCTGTTGGATATCCAAAAAACTTTCGATAGAGTTTAGATAGAGGGATTTGTCGCCAACTTGTGGTCGGCTGGCATGCCCTTATTTGTGATTAGGATTCTTCAATCCTACCTCAGCAACCGAAATTTTCGTGTGAGAGTGGACCAAAACACATCTACGAATTATCCAATTGAAGCAGGTGTCCTGCAGGGGTCCTGCCTGTCATCGCATTTGTACTCTCTGTACACGCACGACATTCCTATGTTCTCGAAAACGAATGTCGGTATATACGCGGATGACACTGCTATACGCGCATTCGTTTTCGAGCGAAGTGGCGAAGCCACAGCTTCAAATCCACCTCAACAGGTTGGTCGTGCCGTAGTCAAGGGTAACTGCGTTGACGGGCAGAGGAGCGCGCGATATCTGGGAGTTATCCTGAACACATCAGGAGGCTATCTTATAAATTCTTCAAGTTCTTTCTAACGAAAAACCCGCTGAAGAGGGACGTCACGGCGCTTAGGAGTTATCATAATCAACTCCGAAAACACGGGCTGATTTATGAAATGCTTAATATCTTCCATGAACGGCGTGAATGTGACCTCGCTCAGTTATTTTCCTGGTTTTTTGATGAATAGTTCCCAGGGGGCTAATGATAAACTTGCAGCACCCATCTACTATATTCAGATATGAGGTACCGAAACCACAACATCACGAGAAATCTCGGGTAAGCCTCGGCAGGAAGCGGAAGTCTTCAGCATTCAGACTGAATGCTGAATTGAGGCTCTGTTGGGCAGAGAGCTACCCTTTAACACCAACGGAAGCGCCTCCCATCGGCCTATCGTGGGTCTATGAGGCGGCGCTTTACCTCGCGGACGTCCTGGGGCTCAATATTGAAGTATCATTCTGCTAATTCCCCTTTTCCTTTTTCTATTCTAAAATATTCATCGAAGTATTTCTGCAATAATAATCTAAAACATAATAATGATAGGGGGATAGGGCCTGACCAGCGCATACTTCGGTTAAAGATAGGGCCTGACCAACGCATACTTCGGTTAAAATATTTATTTGTAGTTCCTTATTACATATAAATACAATAATTATTCAATCTATAAAACTAAAAAAAAAACTACAAATGAATCTAGAAACAACATGTACCGGAAGGGTACTGTTAATATTAGTTCTAGCTTTGAAGAAAAGAAAAGTAAACTAGAGAAAAAACGAAAAAAAAAGAAGAGAAAAAAGGGGAAGGAGAGAGGGAAGAGGGAGAGAAAACATGTTAAAGGTTCATTCTGAATATTTTTCAGAAGTATACAATTTATGAAAGCAATGAAGGAAACTTTACTAACTTCATATTTTTGTAGAATATTATTATACAAACTGTATTTGTTATATCGTCGGTATAGAGTGGTTCGATGGGGCGGAGGGAAAAGTAACCCTTTAAAATATGTACATTGCTACGAAATTTTATTTTGTTATACAAATATGATGGACATATGTTGATTAATATTTTATGAAAGTGGGTAGCCGAGTGTAAAACACGTCTATTTTTCATAGTTAACTATTTGGTTGCCTTAAGTTTATATGAAATTCTGTCATATTTTCAAATACCAAATGTCTTTTTTATTCAGACATGAACACAAGCGCATTTGTTAATTTTATTTTCAAACTCACTGATAACAAACGATGATGAGGATAAAGCATTTTGAAACTCATGTAACTTCTCTGCAAACATTTTGTCACATGTTTTGTGAACCTTAAATTTACGTCCATTTCAATACCTAAATTTTTGGCACCGTTCCTGGGGCNTTCAGTGAAGAATCCTGCACTGACACCTGTCGGATATAATCCAACGCCCTTCGTGGTATTAGCCAGGGGAGTAGTTGTTTTCTGATAGGTGTCAGAGTCCACTCACCTACAGTGCAGGGAGTTGAAACTGGCCTGAACGAATTGCTCCTTCAGATGATTTAATTTATAGCCAATCTTCAAGTATGCCCACTAACTGTATGTGAAAAGTTTGGAATATATGTTTCTATTCATTTATATATCAAATTAGGCATCAACATGTTTGTTTACTGCCTATGAATCGTATCTCGAGTATATTTTACACTACTCGTAATCAAACGTAACCGCAAAGTAAGTCAATTTACGGTCAAATTCAATCACAAGTATCAAATGTGCCACGGAATAGATTTTTTTTATGAATTGATTGGTTTCTTTCTGATTATTGTAACCATAAACGACCTTGTAGCACTAAATAAAATATAAACAATCAATTTAATTTTTTCATAATCTGAGAAGCTGGTTCCTCAAAAATTGAATTGAAATCACATAAAAAAGGTGCCGATAATTATAGGTCAGAATGAAATTTCATTTATACCTGACTATTGACCCGCCCCGGCTCCGCACGAGTGCAATGCTGATACTAAACATAAACTTTTCCACCGGAAATTCAAGGGCGTGGAAAAACAGTGATGAAAAGATAATTTTGTTTTATCGACGCACATGTTTCCCTTGCGGCTGCCGCCCCCGTTGGAATATTTGAAAATCCTTTCTTATTGCACATCTACAACATAAAACGAATCTACATACAAAAATTCACCCTCCGAAAATAATAAGAAACACTGATTTAAAAAAAAACATCCAAAAGAACAATTCGTTCAGGCCAGTCTCAACTCCATACACCGTAGTTTAATGGACTGACACCTATCAGAAAACAACTACTCCCCTGGCTGATACCACGAAGGGCGTTGGATTATATCCGACAGGTGTCAGTGCAGGATTCTTCACTGAAGTTACTCCTGCATAAGCTGTTGGCCATACAAATACCGCAATAGATTTTCAATTATTGGAACACACTTGCAGACCGATTTCGGGCTGTTTGGCCACTCGTCAGTGCAAGGTAGTGAATATCATCAAGATAAAGTCGATGATTTCCGATAATTGAGAATCGAATTTCTTCAGAGTATCATTCCTGGAAGTAAGCAGAAGCAGACAACAACAGGTTTGTCATCGCCCCATCTGCCTGTCAACGAGGTAACCAACTGCATGTCCGAAGTTTGCCCAATTCCTCGTATAAGAAAAGAAAACTTCTCACACATAGTCAGTGGGCATACTTGAAGACTGGCTATAAATCAAATCATCCAAAAAAACAATTCGTTCAGGCCAGTCTCAACTCCTTACACTGTAGTATATATTATAAATTTTGTTTTCGAAGTATAAGTTTCTGAAATCAGTTTTTCAATTTCCATGTGGAAATAACCATCTAGTATAAATCTATTCGTCACGCACAACTGAACTGACCGACACACAACGTGTGAATCAAACTCGATTTGTTTTCGAAGGTTAATTCACTTAAACACCTTCCTTGAATATGAATAAACTAGAGGCGTGTGGTATTTGCGAACATTATGTTTTTATGTAGGTCATAAGCATTGACTCAATATGTTTCACTAGCAGTCAACCTAAAAATAATCAGAAATCAGCACGAGATGCAAGGGAAAATATACAGAGTGATCCAAAAGAATAATTTACAACTCGTTTGCGATGCTATAAGGTCATCGAAGTTACTCTTAAAGTAGGTCTAACAGATTAACTGTAAAAAATGTAAGGTTGCTGATTCATATACAAAATGCTTTCGGTGGGATGCTTTCTTTTCAGAATAAATCGAATCTTTGCCTGCCAAATCGGCAAAAACTGCTAGTAAATTAATTTACAGAAAAGCAATTTAAGTTTTTCTACTGTATCCTTGGTATCATTCGTTAATATAGCTAATAATAACTCCCAGCATTGATAACGAAGATCTAAAGGAATCAGCAAAATTACAATTTATTAGCTAGTTGAGATCTTTTTGTATTTTATAGCGAAAAAATAACCTACTTTCGTAAAAACGAGACTTGCGGATCATTTTATGTTCGATAATAGAATGAACATGATAAGGAGAATCAATATAAACAACAAAAACGTTAACATAAACTTCAAAATCCAGGAGTATCATGCCTCATTCGATGTATTATCGAAGCCCCAGAAAAATAAATTGTGCAGCCTGAAATGCAGACCTTGGAATCTGCTCAGCTTTTGG